TCACCGGCAGCCGACGCCGGGGTCGTCGCGCCCGACACCGCAGCAGCCACAGACGCCGACATCACCACGGCTTCCGCAGCCGCGGCGGCCGCCGCCGCCGCTCGCCGCCACTTGCGCACCGTCTGCCGCCTCGACAATGGACTGGAGCCGCGGGGGGCGGGCGACGGCGAGGCGCTCGGTGGTCGGCGAGTGGGCCTGCGGCGAGGGGAGGCCGGGCTTGGTGCAGCGCCGGTGCGGGAGGTGTGGCGGCCTCTCGCCGGGAGGGGGGAGGAGAGCGCGGGTCGAGGTATGGGCGCACCCGCGGCAGAGCATTGAGAGGGCAAGGCGGCTGGCAGCCGTAGAGGAGCAGGGGGAGGGGGGGGGAGGGGGGAGGGGAGGGCAAGATAGCCGCACGACTTGATACTAGCGCGCGCCTGGTCGACGAGAGACAGCAAGCTCTGGCGCGACTCGCGCGCGCCCTGCAGCCCGAGCCGCGCCTTCTCCCACGCGTCGCGCCCACCGCACTCGCCCGAGCCGAAGGCGGCCTTGATGGCCAGCGCGCCTGCGGACGCGCGCACCCCCCTTCACAGCCTCACAGACCCTCGCCTCGCCTCGCACAGCAGCGCGCGCCCAACGTCATCTCGGGCCTTCTCGGGCCATCTCGGGCCATCTCAGGCGCGCGCCCAAGGTCCGCCACGGCGACGCGGTGCCGTCGGCGCCGAGGACGTACGGCTCCGCCAGCCCCTCAGCCTGCCCGCCCGCAAGCGGGTGGGCGGAAGCCGCCGCCGGCCCACCCGCAGCCTCAGGGCGCGAGGAGGGGTGGGTGGGCCGGCGCGGCGGTGGCGCGGACGCGTCGCCGACGCGCCCGCGCTCGCCGTCGAGCGGCCGGGACGCGTCGCGGACGTGTCCGAGCAGCGCGTCGAGCGGCTCGGCGAGGGTAGAGTCGGAGGCGAGCGTGGAGTCCGAGAGGCTGCCGCCGCTGCCGTTGGGGTGCGCCTCGCCGGGCGGGAGGAGTGCGGCCGAGTCGGGGCCGACGAGCTACGAGCCGAAGACGGAGGTGAGCGAGAGGAGCCGAGGGGAGCCGAGGGGAGCCGAGGGGAGCCGAGGGGAGCCGAGGGGAGCCGAGGGGAGCCGAGGGGAGCCGAGGGGAGCCGAGGGGAGCCGAGGTGGAGCCGAGGGGAGCCGAGGGGAGCCGAGGTGGAGCCGAGGTGGAGCCGAGGTGGAGCCGAGAGATGGCCTGCAAATCGAAGACGGAGAGGAGCAGCTCGCGCAGTGGCGGAGGGACGGCGGCGTGCCACACACGCAGCACCTAATCTCGCCATCCTCTCGACGTCCTCTCGACATCTTCTGGGAGAGGCTCTCTCGTGCCACCTCACGCAGCACCTCCCGCACGAGCGCCACCTTGTTACGCGCCTGGCCCTTGAAGCGGAGGGACTCTGTCGCGGCCTCCTGCTGCCTGAAGGGGGGGAGGGGGGGGGGTCAAAAGAGTTGGGTTGTCAGAGCGTTGTGCCGTTCCAGCTCGTGGTGTCTGTGCTCCAGCACATGGTCCAGCACATGGTGTCTGTGTGCGCGTGCTGGGGGCGCGCGACATTGTGTAGTGGGTGTGGGTGGGTGGGGGGGTGGGGTGGGGGGGGGGGGGGCAATGTGCAGTGTAAGGGGGGCGCGGTGCCGGACGGCGAGGCGCAGCATCGAGAGGCGTTGCGACGAGACCACTCGCTTCGGGATCTCAGCCTGGAGCTGCGAGACTGCGTCCCGCACCTTCGCCAGATCACCGCGCAGCCGCGAGATCGCCTCGAGCTCCTTGGCCACCGCAGCGCGCAGCAACGGCGCGCTCAGCTGCCCGCCTAATCTCGGGTCATCTCGCGGTCATCTCGGGTCTCGTCTGCCGCGCGGAGCGAAGGCGCGCGCAGCTCGCCGGCGCCGGTGGCGTCGGGCGGGCTGGAGAGGCGGAGCGAGCCCTCGCCCGCCGCATCGCCCGCCGCATCGCCCGCCGCATCGCCCTCCGCCGCCTCGCCCGCCGCCTCGAGCCAAGCGATCGACACTTGCGCGAGCTTCGCGCGGTGCTGCGCGCTGGCCAGCTCAGCGAGGATCGACTGCTGCTCGCGCCACAGCACCGCCGACTCCTCCGAGATTGCCGCCAGCTCGTCCGCCTCCATGTTGTCGAGCTGCACGTACGCGGCGTGCACCTCGGGGCTCGCGCGAGGCACGTCCTGCCGCCTGCGCCGCGAGGCCGCCGGCGTCAGGGGCGCCAGCGTCAGGGGCGGGAAAGCGCGGTCTCGTGCAGCGTGCTCGCGGCGCCGCGGGAGTGCGAGGGATGCGAGCACAGCTGCAGACGTGTCCTCTCGAGTGCCCGCCACAGCGCACGACACCCACCCTCCGCATCTACTCCTGACGCCTTGCCACCAAGTCGTCGAGGGCGCGCCGCACACCCGCCATCGACACCTATTCACAGCAGGAGGTGTGAAGAGACGCTGTTCACAGCTCGTCGATGAACTCGCACGCCCGCCACCGACACCTCGATCTCGCACCCACCGCCGCCGCCGCGGCCTCCCCCCCTGCCGCCGCCGCCCCTGCCGCCGCCGCTCATCCCTCCGCGCCCGCCGCCCTCTCCGACACCCTCCAAGCCCCTCCGCTCCCCCGGCCCTCCCTGCCCCTCCCCACTGCCAGCCGCGCCTCGCCCCTGCGCAGCGTCGGCCGCCTCCCGCTCCCTCCGGCCATGCCGCCTGCCCGCCCCCTGCGCCGGGCGCGGCTGCGGCGCCGGTGCGGCGCCGGGCGGCGTCATCCCCTGTGAAGGGCAGGGGAGGGGCGTCGGTGGCAGAGACTGCAAGGGGGCTTCGGCTCCCGTGGCGGGTTGGCGCGGGTGTTGGGTGTGGCGGTGCGGCGGGTGTTGTGTGTGTGTGTGTGTGTGTGTGTGTGTGTGTGTGTGTGTGACTGGGTGTGCGAGTCGGAAGGTTCTCGGAAGGTTCGCCTGCGCCAGGTGGACGAGGGTGCCTTGCAGCTCGCGCAGCACCGCAACCTGCTCCTGCAGCGGGTTGTGCTCCCCCTCCTGCCGCTGCGGCACCTGCGGCGGCGTCATCTCGGGTCACCTGGCTGAGCTCGGCTGATACTCGGGTGAGCTCGGGCGATCTCGGCTGACCTCGGCGCGATCTCGGGTGATCTCGGACGATCTCGGGTGATCTCGGACGATCTCGGGTGATCTCGGACGATCTCGGGTGATCTCGGACGATCTCGGGTGATCTCGGACGATCTCGGGTGCTCTCGGACGATCTGCGGCGCCTGCGGCGGCGTCATCTGCTTTGCGCGGTTTGCGTACTTGAGCGTGTTGAGCGTCTCCTCGTACCTGCCCACAGCAGTTAATTAACAGCTAATTAACAGCTAATTAAGAGATAATTAAGTCTCCTCGTACCTGCCCACAGCCAGAGCCGTGAAGAGACGCTGTCCACGGGAGGGCGTTGAGGGTCTCGTCTCACTGGTCCGACGACGGAGAGACAGCGCAGAGCATCGCGGCGACAGACGTGCCCGAGAGCGAGTCCTGACGAGGGAAGACGCTCGCGTGGGGGGGGCGAGCGGCCGCAGCCAGAAGGCGGGGTGCGTTGCAGGACGCTCCTTGAGGAGGCGAGTCAGCTTAATTAACAGTTAATTAACAGCTAATTGAGAGATATTGCAGGAGTTGCTCCTTGAGTAGGCGAGTCAGCTTCGAGTCGCGGTACGGCACGTGCGCGCCTATGCACCGCCCATGCCGTCTCACACCTCTCGATGCGCCGAGTCGTGGGGACGGGTCGTGCGCCGCGCGCGCCTGTGCACAGAAGCACTGTCTGGCCGCTGCTCGGCTGTCTCTAGTCGCAAGAGGACGGCGCGCGCCCTTGCGCGTGCGGTCGGCGAGGGCGTTGATGCAGTTGGCAAGGGAGAGGAGGGAGCGGTTGATGTTGCGCCCCTCCACGAGCCGCTGCCCGCGGTTGTCGGTCTTGTACGCTCTCTCGGAGCCGGCGAGGTCGATCAGCGACAGCTTGGCGAGGCGCCGCTTGGAGCCGCCTCCCTCTCCGTACCGCTGCACGGCCTTGACGGTGACCTGGAGGACGGCGTGCGAGCGGGAGGAGACCTCGTTGCAGTTGGTCGCCTCGGTCGTGCGGTAGACCGAGCCACGCTGCATGTGCTCCATGATCTCGGCGGCCGACCCGACGGCGAGCTCGACGGCGCCCTGGATGTGCGTGCCGTGCTTGGCGTCCTCCCTCACCTCGAGAGAAGAAGGAGAAGATCTGTGAGAGTCAGATGCAGATTTAGGTGCCGTGCCTCGCGTCCTCCCTCACCTCGAGGTCTGCCTGTGAGTCCGGGTTGAGCAGGTCCTTGACCTAAACAATCTCAATTCGAACCTCATTTAAAGAAGATGAAGACTCCGGGCTGAGCAGGCCCTTGACCTTCTCGTTGTAGATCTCGACGTACGAGACGCCGAACTTGTAGTCGAAGTCGTCGTCCCGCAGCGCCGCCGCCATCAACTCCTCCACTGCCTCCGGCATCACGCCCGGCTCCTGCGGTGCGGGAGAGAGAGAGAGAGAGAGAGAGAGAGAGAGAGAGAGGGAGAGAGAGAGAGAGAGAGAGAGAGGGAGAGAGAGAGAGAGAGAGAGAGAGAGAGGGAGAGAGAGAGAGAGAGAGAGAGAGAGAGGTGTGGGAGGTTGGACGAGCGGGAACTTCTTCCTCTCTTCTACTATTGCAGGCCTGCGGCTGGCCGAGCATCGTGTGCGTCTTGCCGGAGCCCGTCGCGCCGTATGCAAAGCAGGCGCCGTTGTAGCCGTCGATCACGGCGGTGACGACGCGCCGCACCAGCCGCGCGTACACCTCGCTCGAGCCGCTCTCTGGGCCGAACGCCGCGTCAAACTGGTACGCGTGGTCGTTGAACTGCTGCAGCCGGAGGTAGTCGCGGCCGCCCATCTTCTCGTCCGGGTCGCGCGCGAAGACCTTGTTGCCCTCTGTGACGGACAGGCAGTCCACCGCGCCTCGGGCCGACTCGGCCGCCGAGAGCGGCCTCACGCGCACGCCGACCATGAGACGGTGGTCGTCTGGCCCGCGAGGCGACGACGCCTCGTCGATCGCAGGCGCCGCACGCACGCCCGGCCGGCTGGCGCTGCTGCGAGGGCGAGTGCGCGGCTTGCTCATCTTCAACGCTGCCCCAAAAGAAGAAAGCCAGCGCCCCTACATGTACATGTAGCCCAACAATTCAGCAGTGCAGCTTCGGGTATTTTCGAGCCGCAATCAATCAAAAAAGAAATGTGCCGATCTGAAACCGACACCGGTGAACGGATGGGCCGTGGGAACACACACATTATGCCCGGCTCCAGCAGCCTGCAGCCCGACCAGAACGCTCGCCTGCGAGAGATCTTCGACGCTCTCGGCGACCAGGCGACCGCGCGCGCTGGCCGTGCCTCTGCCGCCACGCATCTAGGCAATCAGGCTCCACCCGCTCCTGTAGGTGGGAGGCCTGATTGGCATTGACGGGGTTGGGACTGCGCTCCAGCTCTTTGGCCTCGAGCTTCCCCCGGAGGAGGCGGATTCGCTGCCCCGCACAAGCCTTTACCCGATTGCCTCTGACCTCAGCTGCTGCGTTGCAGGTGGCTGACCTCGTGACGGCGATTGCACCCACGCTCCGTGCGCTGCCGCTAGTCGCAGACCCACGACCCTGCAGCTGCTCCTGACTCCCGCCGAATGTTCAGGCAAGCTGCGATTTGAGGAGTTTGTGCACACCATTCTCACACAGCCGACACCGGGCACTTCTAGCGAGGAGGAGATCGCGGCTATCTATGACCTGTTTTCGCAGCAAGGAGTCGTCACGGCTACGTCCGTGCAGGCTGCTATGGAGGCTCTCAGCCAGCCGGTGCCGCCGCAGCGCACCCCCGCTGCACACCATAGCACACACGATAGCGTCTGGGCCTTGGGACAGGTCTCGGCTTTGCTCGCTACCGACATCGTTCGCGAGGCTGACCTCGACGAGGATGGGGTCGTCAGCCGCGACGACTTTAGCCAAGCAGCTTTGCAGTGATCTGTTGGTCAGAGTCGGTGGTTTGGGGTGCCTTCTCGACAGCGGTACCGACAGCGTGCCAGCTACCGCACACGCATATGAAAGTGGAGTGTTTGAGCGTGCCGTTGAACATATGCAAAATATACACAAGAGATTGCACACACCGTGTGTGACACGTGTGAACGAGCGGGGCACACGCCGACACGCGACACGCGCCTCGCGCCCCCCCCCGGCAGCGCGCTGCTGGCGCGCGCACACACCTTCCTCTGGCAGGGACGACCTGGCAAGCCCGCATCGTCGGTGCACCCTCCTTCGCCCTGGCGAGACGTGCAGGCAGCGGGCTGCCAGAGCTGGCAGAGGCAGAGCAGGTGAGACCGCTGGGCGCAGCACGAACGAGAGCCCGCCCAACCTTTCTCTTTTTTCTCTTCGTATTGAGAGGGCCTTTGTTTTTAATCGGATGATCCCTCATCGGATATCAGGACAGAAAGCACCCTAAACGGCACGCCGCCACCACAGCACACAGGCACCCGGGTCAAACAGGAGGTCAGGAGCTGTCAGTGTCACGTGTCAGCTCTCAGTCTCACAGGGTCAGGGAGAGAGACGTACGGCTTTTCAAATACCGTATCAAAGATCTTTTTTGGTGTACCTGTGTGTTAGTGCCAGTGCGCGCCCGTAAAGAGAAAGAAACAAAACAGAGAACGTCTGCGCCTCTCCTCGACACAAGTGCACTGTGGCACACATCCAGCCTGCGCGCACCTGCCCCGGGCCAGCAGAGCACAATATTCACAACACAAGTCCCGGGAAGAGTCGGCCCGCGCCTTGGCAGCGCCGCTCGGACGAAGCATGCCACCGCGCCACACGTTGCAGACCACTCTTCACCCCCCACCCTCACGCCCACAGACGGTCAAGACAGACGACAGCCCCTCCTTCCGACGAGGCACACTCCATGCCAGCCGCGAGGGCCCCACAAGCCTAGTCCTCCTTCTTGTCTGCCGCTGCACTGCCGCCTCCGCCTCGACTCCCCTCTCCTCCCTCTCCTCCCCCGCCCCCGCCCCCGCCCCCACCCCCGCCGCCGCCGCCGCCGCCGCCCTTGCCCAGCTCCTTGCCCAGCTCCTTGCTCAGCTCCTTGCGCAAGCTCGGCCGAGGCGGAGGCGCCTCGAGCATCTGCAAGGCGGCGGCACGCCTCGCGGCGGCGTCGCCCTCGAACTGCTTGCGGTACGCCTTAGAGAAGACCTCGATGTAGTACGAGGAGCCGTTCCAGACGCAGGCGAGGTAGATGCCGAGGAGGTAGGCGAGGTGCAGCCAGTAGTGCGACCAGAGGAGCGGGACCGGCAGCAGCGCGACGCACGTGTAGAGCAGCTGCACCGCGATGAAGATGAGCTTGGTCTTCCAGCGGTCCGCGTCGAACATCTCGCCCGGCCGCATCACGCCGACGGAGCGGAGCACGTCGTGCGTCACGCGGGTGAGGCCGCTGTAGTCGCCGTTGGAGCCGGGGCTGGTGAGCCAGCGTATCGACGTCATCAGTGCAGGGTCATCGTGCAGTGCGCGTGCGAAGAGCGCCTCCGTGACCAGGACGTAGAAGAGCTGCCAGGCGCCATACGAGAGGACGCCGAGCCGCATCGTCGTCCACGCGGAGATGGAGTCCGGCAGCTCGAGCCCGGCGGGCGGGTACCAGCGCGTGCAGAAGAGCAGCAGGGCGGGCAGCGCGTGGATGAAGACCGACGTGATCTTGTCGAGGGAGTGGAAGACGAGCGAGTTGCGCCACGTGATGATGGCGAGGGCGAGCGGTCCCGAGGCGTGCGCGAAGTTGGCAACGACGAGCGGCTGCAGCTGCGGGTAGGCGAGAACCTGCACAAGGCAGGAGACGTTGGCCATGTAGCAGAAGTCGATGAGAAAGTAGTGCCAGCGCAGGCGGGAGTAGATCCACAGCCGCAGCCCCAGCAGCGGCAGGATGAAGCCGACGTACCACCACGCAAAGCTCCGCGGCCGGACCAGGATGGCAAACTCGATCGCCGCGACTCCGACGACGCCGAGCATGAACGAAACCTTGTCGCGCAGCCGGACGATCGGCGGCTCATCCATCCGCGCCCGGATGTGGTCGCGGATCTTCCGGTCCTGGTCGCCCGTCATCTGCTTCCGTATCCTCCTGCGGAACGCCTCCTCTTGCTTTTTGACGACAGAGGGCAGACGCGCGCGCCTCGTGACGAGCTCACGAAGCGCCTCTCGCCGCGCGCGCATGGCGCGCAGGCTGCCCGTCACGTAGGCGGGGTTGCTCTCGCGAGCGACCATCAGATGCTCGCCCGTGAGCACGACTGTCGTCGCCTGTCCTTTCTCGACTGTCTGTTGTGCGGTCTTGGGACCGCGCGGTTTGCAGCGCGCTGCTAGCAACAGGGTTCCGGCTCCTACCCAGATAGGGGGTCTGTGTCCACGGTTAGACCCTATGCAATAGGTAGGTAGGTCCGGTTTTGACCGCCCCAGAGGGCCCCGCAATAGGTAGGTAGGTGGCGACCGATCTTGTAGGCGGGAGGGTCCGTGCCCTCGACTCTGTCGAGGGAAGAGAGTGCCGTTTTGGAGCCGTCCAATGCCTCGAGAGCCCAGTAGGCCATGCTCTGGCGGGCTCGCGAGCGGCGCGCACCGCGGTACAAGCCGGCGATGGGTCCGCGTGCAGGTCGGCGATGAGCAGTGCGCGCTTGAGTGTAGCTGCGGAGCTGGCCATAACGGCGAGCAGTGCTGCGGCGAGGTGCATGTTGAGGTTCCCCTCACCCTCACCAGGTGCGCGCAAACGGTAGCCGCGCTCACCGTGTGGGGCGAGTAGACGTGCTCACTGCGACGGATCGAGAGCTCGTCGGTGTCCTCCGAGCACGAGTTTGGCTTTTGTATTCCCACACGAAGCGGGAGCTGCGGGGGGGCGTGTGGCATCGGCCAAAAAATAAATAAATAAGTGAGGACATATCGGATATGTGCGAGATAGCGCGAGGGCCGTTTCGCAGGGACGTGCGCTGTCCACCATCCTCAGCGTCTGCTTCCTCCACGAGATCTGCCACTGCGTCCTGGGGGGGCTCTGTTTAGCTCCTTTTGAAGAGATCCTGGCTCTCTCCTCTTGAGACAAGACCCTATTGCTATCACTCTCCGGTAGCGGGGTGGGCTACCAGAGCTTTAAAGGAGATGGTAATGCGCTCAATGAAACTGTTGAGCGCCTCCTTCTCTGCCGACCACCCTCAATACACAATACCCCGACTCTCCTCACATATTCCTTCAAACCCTCCCCCCACCTGCCCTCCACCCCCACCCCCCACCCCTCACCCTCACCCTCACCCCCACCCCCAGGACAACCCGACCACGCGCCTCATCGGTTTCGACATCTGCCAGAACGACGAGCCCTCGCGCGGCGCCGTCGCCGCCTACTCCGGACCAAAGGGCCTCCTCAAGGCGCAGATGAAGGGAGCGAGCGTCTTCGACGGCGTCAGCAAGTCGCTCATCTACTCGCCCGAGGGCGACCTCTCGTGCGCGCCGGCGGCTGGCTCCGGGGCTCGCCCGCGCACCGCGACAAGGAGGGCAAACCCACGGGGCGAGTGGACTGCTTCAAGGCCGTCGGCACCTTCTTTGGCGACCCTGAAGCCTGCAAAAAGGAGCTCACCGCGCACCTCAGGAAGAACTAAGCTCGCGCCGCTCGACGTCATCGACACGATCGTCGACACTGACTGCGTCACGAACACCTCGCAACTCCGCCTCAACCTCGTCCAACGGATTGCCTGCGCAAAGACCAGGTACATTGCCGGCATCACGCCGCCCAATCTCGCGTGCGAGGCTCTCAAGTTTGCGCACAACCGCATCCGCAAGTCCTTTGAGGGCATTGCTCGCGCCGACGCCTCGCCCCAGGCGCTCCGCGACCTCGCGTGGCTCCAGGCGCAGCTGCCGACCGAGATGGGCGGGTGCAACATCGACACCGCCTTCTCGCGAGCCGACAGCGACTTCTCCATGTCGCCCCTCAAGAACTGGCGCACCCTCGTCGTCCACCCGCCATCGCCGCAGCTATCGCCACCTATGAGTCCGCCCTCTCGGACTGGAAGGAGGTGTGCGAGAAGCGCGCCGCCCGCGACAAAAACAAGTACCACACCGTCCGCGGCGGCTACCTGACTGAGTTCTACCCCAAGAGCGTCCCGCTCCCCGAGCCCGAGTCCCTCCAGCTACCGACGCGATTCTCAATGGCACTTACAAATCCACGTACCCGCGGCCGCGGGCGCTCGCTGCCATCAAGAATCACAAGGACTGGTTCGCGCACCAGGAGCTCGTCAAGGCGCGGGATGTGCACGTCAAGAACAACCCGTCCCTCGGAGACAGCGCCGTCAGCAACCGCGAAGCCATGCGCCTCATCTCCGCCTCAACGCCTTTCGCCGGCAAGGCCTTCGATGTCCGTGTCGACGGTACGTACGCCACCGCCCTCTCCTCCGACACCCTCCAGGACGAGCTCCAGCGGAAGCTTGGCCTTTGGCTCTCCGCGGCACTTCCCACCCTTCGGGTCGCGCTCTCGAGCGGGGCATGCCAGTCGATTTCTTCGGCGACTACCTTTACAATAAGGCCCACCACCGGCGGCCCCACGACGGCGTCCTCGCCGCCTGGGCGGACGCGATGCGCGCCCCGGCCAACGCGCCGGTCGTGCACGGTGACAAGGAGAAACCAGAGCTCACCCGGCAGTACAACGAGGGGTACAAGGTCGACCTCGCAGAACCCCACGCTGGCCCGGGAGGATGCGATGAGGTGAATGAAGTCAAGCTCTGGACGCCCCTCCTCAAGACCTCCTCGACGGGCGTTGGCAACGCCTCGAGTGGCGGCACGCCCCCCTCCGTTGGCCACTCCTACGCCTTCGGCAACACTGAAGAGAAGGCCCGCCGCCTAAACAAGGCGCGCGGGCAGCCCGGCCAACCCTTCTCCCACAAGACCGGCCACGGCTACGTCAAGGCGCATCGCGATTTCTACCACGACGCGATCTTTGTCAAGCGCAACAACTTCAACCTGCTGCTCCACGAGACGTTCGGCGGCGGCTTCTCGCCCACCGCCGTTTTCAAGCTGCGCCGCCTCGCGCGCAAAGTCGCGCGCGGCAGCGTCGACCGCACGGCCTACTCGCCCAAGTACTCGCTCTCTTTTATGTCCCACCATGCAGAGCGCATCTCTCTCTCTGTTGTGCGAGGCGTGAACCGCGCCATTCGCTCTCACCTGGCAACCCTGTCTGCACGTCTCGCGCGCGCGTGAACAGGGCTCCAGGCCCCAAATGATGTGTGAGTGTTAGAGTTGTTTGGTATTGCTAAAAATCTCTCTCTCCGGACAGAACGACTTGCTCTACAAAGCTGGCGCGCGACGTAGGATCCTACATCGAGCTGGAGGACCCCTCATTTGGTCTGAGGGAAGTCCGAGCGAGGGGAAACCCCCGCCCCAAAGTCGGCGGTTTTGAGCATTTGAGGCCGCGTACAGCTGTCCGGTCCACGCGCCTTTTCTAACGAGGGCGGTGGAGGGGTTCCGCATCGCGGCCTCCTGCGCCTTTTTGGTACTTGTGTAGGCGATAGACTGTACAGGCCACAGACAGGAAAGCCGACGGGGGAACCTCATAGAACGCTTGGGCATGTACTCTCGTCCTCGTTCTACGCGGTCCTTCTTCCGCTCCTCTAGCTGCTCTCGCTGTTGTGCCCTCCCCCGCGCCGGAGGCGCCCGCTCGAGGGCGCCCGCGTCACCCCGCACAAATGCTCTGACTCTCTCTCTCTTCTCTCCGGCTCCCGCCCGGCTTCGTTGGAGGACGCCATGCTCCCCGCTGCATGGACGCAATTTTTTTTTCACCCCCACAGCGGCGAGGCGCAGGATTGGGCGGAGGGCGCCGCTCATCCCGGAAGAAAAATAAGACGGATATCCTGCAGAAATTATTTTTCAGCACAGCGGCTAGTGCGACCCCCCAGAGCAACCGAGGTTCTCGAGGTGGATATCCTTTGGCCGCGTTGGGTAGCGAGGATTGGTGTGACGCGATCCACGCAGGCGTGTTGGCCGACCGTCAGTGCACGGAGTTGCCCCTTCTCCGACTGCCCCGGCTAGTTCCCGAGGTCGTCGGGTGTGACCCCTGCGTCCCCCGAGACCTAGCGCGGGTGGGTTGGAGGGGGCTCGCTGCAAGGAAGGGCGGTGTAAGAAGCCGATCCCCGTAGTCCGCCCCACTCCTCCCCATCGGGCCGCATAAGGTTATCATAAGCGGCCGCGCCTCGCAGATTCTGCCGCCTCTACTCGCCGAAAAAAAATCATATGAAACAAGAAGGGAACACACACATGACGCCGCACACACACACGCACCCCGCACCGCACCCCTCTCCCCGCGCCCTAAGCCCTTTCCGAGTTGTGGAAAGATAAGAAAAAGAAACATTTACCGCTGCCGCACAGCGGCTAGTGCGACCACCCACGGTGAGCTTCTCCGAGAGCTCATGAGCTCTTGGTACACGCCCTCGTCGACTGACCCTCACCGAATATCAACATCGCACCCCGGCCTTTTGACCGCGATCTCACCGCCGCTGTCTCGTTGCCCTCCCGGCGGCTGGCGCAGGCGCCTCGACCAACGATCATGCCCGCCACCACCGACCAGCTCCTCGTCTTCAGCGACGCGAGCGAGAGCGAGAACGACGGGTGGGAGCCTCCCGCGGCCCGCAAGAAGCCCGCGCCGGCCCGCAAGAGCGCTCCCGGCAAGAGCGCAATCGCCAAGTCCGCCAAGACGAGCGGCGTGCGTCGGCCACAGCGGCGTGTGGCGGTGGCCGCGAGTGCGTCGAGCGACGAGGAGGACTCGGCCTCGCAGGACTCGGTCGCGAGCGGTGACACCGGCGCCCTGCCGCCCCGCCGCCCCTCACCTCCCAAGGCACAGCGCCACTCCATTCCTGACGCGCGCCCTCGCCCGCGGCGTGCGCAGACGGCGGGGTCGACGCCGCGTTCCAGGTCCTCATGCGCAAGCTCGAGTCGCAGCAGAAGAAGGAGGGGGAGAAGGCGCGGCGCAAGGCCGACGCCGAGTTTGAAGCGATCCGCGCGGCCAAGTACGACGAGGCGGATGCAGATATCCGCGAGTTGAAGGGTGATCGCCGCGCCCGCGGCCCCACGCGCGCCACGCGCCACTCACCCGTGCATGAGCCACCTGCCCACAGATGAGTTTGCTGCGAAGGCGAGCCGTGTGAGGAGCGTGCTCAAGCAGTGCCAAAAGGAGATCGAGAGGGCCAACGAGCTGGAGGAGAAGAGCATCCGCGAATATCGAAACCAGGCGGCGCACACGCTCAAGGAGTTCGAGGGGCATCTGCGCGTGATCGAAGAAAAGAAGGCGAGCGTCACAAACCTGATCAACACGGTGTGCACCAATCACAAGAAGAAGGTGGAGACGACGGTGGTGCGCGCAACGAGGAGCATCACCGCGGCGCGCAAGTTGCGCTTGGACGATCGTCTCGCTCCCGTTCGTTCGGTCCTTGCGAATGTTGTCAAGAACCTCACTCAGGACCTGGCGAAGCTGTCTTGAGCCGCACGAGACACGCCCGAGGGCAGCGCGCCTCGTGCTGCCTCCAAATGTGCACCGGACTCTGAGACGGGACGGAGAGAGTGCGCGCGAAGTGGCTTCTCGGACTCGCGCCACCCCAGAGACTGAGTACGGCGCCCCATTGCGCCACGAAGAGCTGCTCCGAGCAGTCTGCGGAGATGACTCTCTCGTGTCGATTTGTATCCGAAGCTTGAAGAGCGCCACTGTCCGCGCCGGCTTGTTTGCGACACGCTTGGAGCGCGGCGCTCCATCCTCTCCTGCGATCTGCGCGGCGGGGTGGACCGGTGTTTTGGCGCTTTTGCGTTTTGCATGGAGCCCATGGTTTTGGCGCTTTTGCTCATGTCCCACCCACGCCAAGGAAAGCGGAGTGATTACACAAGAGGAGCAGCGCCGAAATGGATCACGGCACGATCTTTATACACACAGCACGGCACATCAGCTTGAGTATTGCGAGCTATCCCGCGCTGAGCTGCGCTTGCTTCGTTAGGCGACTCAGCCCGCTGACCCGGGTCTGATCTCTGATGTCCCCCGACACACACCCGCCCCCTGTGCCCTGCGCCGTCAGCGACCACCGGGGAGCGGCAACACTACGCTGCATCTAAATCTCACAAGGATTCGTAGAGACCATGCCAGGCGCGGTCGCGTGACGCACCCAAGGCGGTTGCCGCTCGAGGTCGAGCCACTCACTCGAGACTGAGCTGACTCGCGACTCGTGAGCCAACCCGGGTGCCGGCGAGCATCCCTCGCTTGATATGCCGCCATTGGACAAGCTCTCTTCAGCGGGCCCGGGGATTGCGCAGCACAGAGGCGTTTCGGAGACATCGAGGTCCAACACAGCCACCTGCGTCACCGTTGGTGCCGCGTCCGCTCCACGCAAACGAACCTTTCTCCCCGTCGCAATATCCGGGCCCTTGAGAGCACGGGTGGGCGCCAATGGGCGCGCGGCATGCGAAGCGTGGCACGCCAATGGGCGCGCGGCGTGCGAAGCGTGGCACGTGGGCCCTTCTCGAAGCCGCTCGCCCGCCTCTGCTTTGGGTTGTCTGTTGACAAGCGAATGCACAGAACGGGTCAAAGAAAAGTAATACCATCACAATGAGTACCACATCACGTACGCGCGCTTCGTCGCCACGCGCACCTTCCTTGCCGGCTGGGCCGCCTTCATGGACTTCACCCGCCTCTCAGGCCACGAGACGGAGGCACTTGCCGCCGGCCTCGCCTCCTTCAAGAACAGCGAGGTCAAGGCGTGCTTTGTGCCGATTGCGCTCGAGTGGACCATGGCGCTCGTGCAGCCCCTCAAGCAGGCTGGCCGCCGGTCCAACCAGCAGGACGCCGAGCTCGCCGCGACCGTCGAGCGGGTCTGCCGGACGATGCTCGCCTGAAGCGCGCGGACGCGTGACGGGAGAGCATCTCCCAGCTCACAGCGAGTTCCACACTGAAGACGGCTCCGGCGGCACTCATGTGTGCACGTCTTTGAGCATCGCATGTTGTCACATTGCAGTGGACCCCCCCCCCCCCCACACACACCGTTTTGTTTTTTTCCGCGTCGCCATCCGCGCGGGCTTTTCGCTTTAACCTCTATGGACTATGGATCCGTGCGGCGGGTCGCAGGCCCTCGGGATGTAGGTGGGAGCACCAAAAAGGCCTCCGTCTCGACGAGCACCCAGCCGCCGCAAGGGAGGGCTGGCTGCTAAGACTTGCCACTTGCTTGGGGGGAGGAGGAGGAGGAGGAGGATGTTAGGGGAGGGAGGGAGGGAGAGAGGGGTGGGGGGAGTGGAGAGAGAGGAGAGAGAGGAGAGTGGAGGAGAGGAAGAGAAAGAAGAAGAAAGGGCCAAAAAAGAAATCCCCCGGCCGGCGCGGCAGCGCTCACGCTCCCCGACTCTCTCTCCGCAAGCTGCTGTCTGCCAGCTGCCCCGCGTTTACTTATCTTTATGAGCAAGCTCGAGGTGGCGGCGAAAGACGGCATCGTGAGAATCCCAAAGTCTGTGTTCGAGTCGGCGCCGGCTGAGGTATCGTCGAGCAGCGACGTTGTGGCAAAGGTGCGGCGGCTCGATGGAACAGTCGATGAGCTCAAGCGTGTGACGCCGGACAACCCCAACTTTCAGCCGCGCAAGCCGACGCCCGGCAAAGTCAAGGCCGTCAACAAGGACGAGGCGCTCATTGCCTTCTACACGCGCAAGGTGCGCGCGCACCGTCTCTTACTTTTGCCACGCGAAGCCCGTACCCTCCTTCCCCAGCCGCAGGGCATGCCGCTTCCTGACGAGCTCAAGGCGAAGGCCGAGGCGCTGAGGGAAGAGGAGGATGCGGAGGCGAGGCGGGTCGCCGAGCGTGCGAAGCGGTTCGGGATCACGCCGGCTGCAAAGCCGGCCGCGGCGCAAAAGGGCAAGCGGGGGCAGCCTGCGCAGGAGAGCGCCGGCGCGTCGCTGACGGAGGAGGAGCGGGCTGCGCGCGAGAAGCGCGCGAAGAGGTTTGGCGCCTCTGTTGGCGGCTCGGTGGGCGGCGGGGGCGGTGCGGCGGGGGCGTGCGCCCCAAGGAAGGAGCGGCCAAAGGGCGGGGTGAAGGTGCTGAGCGGGGTGGAGGGTGCGATGGCGGCGGCGGCGCCGGTTGGGTGAGAAGGGCGGTGGAGAGGCAGAGAGAGGGAGAGGGGCGGCGGGAGAGGGAGCGAGGGAGGGACAGCACCGCCCGGCCGGAAATCGGCGCGAGACGGCGTGAGCACAGCAGCACACGCGGCGTTCAGGGGTGAGGATTTGAGAGCCCTGGTGTGCCTGTGTGTGTGCGTCCTGCACCGCACGCGCTAGCGTGCGGATATTAACACGCCAATATGCTCGTTAATCTTCCGAGTGAATCTTCCGAATAACGAAAACTTGTAACACCGCGCGCGCCAGCCAGCGAGAGCGTGGTTCACTCGTCCTTCCTCTTCTCCGCTGCGGCCGCTGCCGCGCGGGCCGAGCCGAGCCAGAAGGCGACGAGCGAGGCGTACACGAGGGCGGCGCCGGAGGCGACCCCTCGCAAGCCGGCGGCGCGGAAGAGGCCGACGCCGGCCGCAGGCGACACCATGCCGGCGAGGGCAAATGCGGCGTGTTCTGCGCCGACCAGTGTGCCCTTGAGGCGGGGAGGGACGGCGGCGGTCGAGAGGGCGGTGAGGGTGGTTGCGAGCGGGAACTGCGCCAGTGAGAGCGCGAGCGAGAGGCCAAGGAAAGGGAGGGCGCCCAGCTGCGGCGCAGAGGCATCTGGCGCGTATGCAGCGGCGAGGGCGGCGTAGCCGGCGACCATAGCGGCGAGGCAGCAGCCGACAGTGCGGCGTGCGCCTCCGAGGGCAGAGGAGAGGTGTCCGAGGGCGAGGCCGACGAGGGCGTTCCCGAAGAAGGCTGCCGACATGACGGCTCCTGTCCGCGGGGGCGGGAGTCGGCATTCTCGCCTCAGAGGCGGACGGGTGTCTCTTGCTGCGGGCGGGCATCGAGCTCCGCTAGTCTCCGCTAGTCTCGGCTCGGCTCGGCTCCTCTCGGCTCGTCTCGGCTCGTCTCGGCTCCTCTCGACTCCTCTCGAGTCGTCTCAGCTCCTCTCGGCTCCTCTCGGCTCCTCTCGGCTACTCTCGGCTCGTCTCGGCTCGTCTCGGCTCGTCTCGGCTCGTCTCGGCTACTCTCGGCTACTCTCGGCTACTCTCGGCTACTCTCGGCTCGTCTCGGCTCGTCTCGGCTCCCTCGGCACCGAGCCCGGCCTGGTCGAACGAGAAGAGCTCCTTGAGCACGATTGGCCGCGCGGCGCCGACCGCCGAATTGGCGACGCCGCTGGCGAGCTTGGTCAGCAGCAGCGGCCACACAGCAGGCAGGATCTGCCCCATGCGCGAGAACCAAGAGCCCGCAGGAGGCGCGTCCTTCTTTCCCTGGTCGCTGCCCGCGCCGTCGCCCGCCTCCTCCGCCTCCTCCTTGTCGACGGCGGCGGGCAGCAGGAGCACTAGCAACGCCGCCAGCAGCGAGCCCGCCACCGCAAGCGGCGCGGCCACCTCGTTGCCGATCCTGCCACCCACCGCGGGCCCGACCACGCCGCCGAGAGTGTAGGCGGTGGTCAGGCGGCCAAGCGCGCCCGCTCGTGCCGGCCCGGCCGGCGTCAGCTTGGCGGCGGCGGTCTGTGCGCACAGGAAGCCCGCCATGAAGAGCGTGGGCACCTTGGACGCGTAGAGCCCGGCCATGCTGCTCGCCTGCCAGAGCAGCCCGTAGGACGCAGCGCACGCGACAAAGTTGAGGGCAAACAAGGCGCGCAGCCCAATCACGTCGGCGCTGTAGCCGACCAGAAACGAGCCGACGGTCTGCACACAGTTGAAGAAGGTGCGAAGGCTCGCGTACTCGGCAGCGGCGTCGGCGTTGGCCTCGGACAGCTGAGCGACCAGGAACGGCTCGATCGGCGACTGGAGCTGGTAGCAGAGGGCGTACACCACAACAAGGGCGTACACGATGTGGAGCGGCTGCTGGCTCGCAGTCGGCATGGCAGGGAAACGAGTTGGAGCTGAGGAAAAAGAATTTTGCCGCAGGAAAAAGAATTTAATTACCGCGCGCAATTCTTAATCGGCTGTCAGACGCCATTCACAGAAAGACGAAACAAAAACGATGGTGAGAGACGCCAACCGACGACCGACGACGACCGACGCGACGACGACGACCGACGCGACCGGGGCAGTCGGAGAAGGGGCAACTCCGTGCACTGACGGTCGGCCGCCAGCAAACACGCCTGCGTGGATCGCGTCACACCAACCCTCGCTACCCAACGCGGCCAAAGGGTATCCACCTCGAGAACCTCGAGAGCTTTTTTAAGAATTCTTACCGCCTTTTGTGGTGCTAGTCCGTGCCAGTCTGCTGTGCGAGGGGCTTGTATTGTAGAATTCAACAAAACAACTCTCTCGCACAGCACACAGGTTCAACACAGGTACCAAAAGAGGCACAGGCCGGCGACGGACCTTTAGGCTTAGAAGGCGCCGTCGTCCTCATAAACAAAGGTGGGCACGACCGGGGGGACAGTCGAATCCGCGAGCACCGTAGTGCTCGCCGAAAAGACCATCATCCCCATCATCCCAACCCCCCCCCGGCGACCCCCTCGCCGCTTGCCCCACCAGCCAGCGGGCACTGCGCGACCCACCCCCGCGCCCTCGACCGCGCCCCCCGCCAGGAGCATACCGCATCACCTCCGCCCGCGCCTCGTCGAAGAGCAGAATCTCTCCCGCCTTCACCGCCTCCTTCCACCCCTCCACGTACCTGCCTTCGTTTTCTGCAAGCACATGCTTTGATGGCCGTGCATTCTTACCGTCTCTCACGGCTAGCCCGAAAGAATTCTTGCCGCCCGACTCAAAGCGCCGACAAGATCCGACAACCATTGGCTCAGATTGGCTGCCTTCCTCGCCTCTCAGCGCGAATGGAGGCGGACGATAACACCCCGCCCGACAGGGAGGACAGCACTCAGGACGACGGCCTCCTCGACGTCGGGCAGACGCTCGGGCACTTCGAAGCGTGGCTCGCCAAGCGGCGCCGCCTCTGCGAGGGGGCGCTGGCCAAAGCCGACGAGTTTGCGGCGGCCGCGGCGCGCCAGGTTGCCTCCCTGCCGCAGGCCGCGCAGGCCGAGTCCTCGGGCTGGGTGCTGCAGGCGCTGTGGCCATCTGGCGAGCGCGTCGTCCCACTCTTTGTCGGCGTCGCGGCCACCGCCGGCCGCGGACCGGCCTCGGCGCTCGCCATCCCCCACCCGTGCGTCTCGTCGGTGCACCTGTCCGTGTGTGTGGAGAGCGTCTCGCCCTCGCTGCGCGTCACGATCCGGGATGGCTCCGCCGCCGGCCACTCCTCCAACGGAGTCTACCTCGGCGGCAAGCGAGTGGTGGGCGAGCTGCGGCTGGGCGCGGAGGAGGTTGGCGCCCGGTGGGGAGACGAGGCGGCCGAGGAGGCGGGCGACATCACCCTCAACATGCGCACCCGCGACCAGCTCGCCGCAAAGTACGGCGGAGCGGTGCCGCGGCTTCGGCTGCGGCGGGTGCGCGGCTCGCTCGAGGCTTCGCTGAGCGCGATTGCGAGCCAGGCGCGTGCGAGGGCGGAGGAGCGGCTCGCAGCCGTCGACGCGGAGGCGGAGCGGGAGTGGGCGGAGCGGAGGCGGGAGGAGGGGGA